TTCAATTCAGTCCACAGAGCTTGTCGTTAACTAACCGCTCGGTTCCGGTGACGCCACGTTGTCCTGGTGGTGTTAGGGTACTGAAAGTATACATTTGATAGTTTCTTGGGAGCTATGTGGCCGCATTTTATCAAATACTTCAAGAATTTACATTTTCCCTTAGTGATCTTAGTACGTCGCGGTTTTTCAGTCTATCGAACTCGTCTACAAACAAACTTTTATACCCCGGCCCTTCAGCCCCAGGGGTTATGGCAAAAAGTGAAACTCTTATCTCAATAGAAACATTACCTATATAATGTTATCATTTATACGTTGTCCTTTTGCAGACGGCGGGCAATAAATTTAAGATGTGTCCGTACATCTGCAGGATCAACGTCTGGGTGACTACCGTTAGTCGCTTTGCCAAGCCCCTTGGTAGTCTTGGTTCCCATGACGTCACGTTGCCGGTGCTTAGATCAGAGTCGATATTTTTGTCTCTAAGTTTAAATGCATGAATGTTTTCTACACTTCAGCTTACATTTAACAGTTACTTAGCAGCTAATACAACCGCCTCGATATATATATATATTGGACCATTGTCTCAGTCCACTGAATTCGTCTGTCACGAAACAAGAATAAAATCCAACGAAAGCCTAAACATTTTTCGCCAACATTCATAGTCTCTAACATAACCTGAATTTCGATTACCTTACGATGCTGCTTATCAACTGGAAGAGTTAAAACTACATAAAAATCTCAGCAACACAAAACTGCGGTGGTCGTCGTGTCTGTGACGTCATCTTGTTTTAAGCAGCCACGAGGGAAATCACGTCTCTATTTACATTTTTCCTTATATCCCGCATTTCTTTCTGCCCATGATAATCCTCTTAGAATAACATCTAAAACGTAAAACTTATCGCAAGCGTCAATGACCGCCACAAGATCACGTCTTTGGTCATTCACATTGTTTTGTCGGCTGGACGGAGAAGAAATTTACAAAATAAATGCATGTCACGAGCAGTGTCGTCACTCTTCTTATACTCAATGTGCAGACGTCTGCTAGTGTTGTAGGGGGCACATAAGAGTGGGTTAAAACACCATTGACGAAGTGTATTAAATTATTTCTATAATTAAAAAGCTGAAACAAGTAATGGTTCAATGTAGAACAGGTAGAACAAAGATCCTCCATGGGAAGAAGCAATGGTTCCCTCTCCGTAGCACAACAGAAGTTTGTTCTTCTGACGTCACACGTTATCTTGACATTACCATATATGGGTAGAAATTGAACAGCAGCTTGGGGAGTTGTTATGTATAGCCCGACGCCATATAAAAAATGCCTTGTATAACTACAAAGCTAAGTTCCATTCTTGAGACCCGACTGCTCTGGGCAGTTTGTTGACGTACAAACATGCGCAAACGCATTGAGTTGCAGCGCTTGAAAATCCCCTGAACCAGGAGTCAAGCTAAGATATGGGTTACTTTTGCATTTATCTTGGCATTGTTTTCCTAAAAGTCTATTAACTCCCCCAAAATACTGGAGTGAAATACTACTTCGAAATCAGAGATTCCGCGGCAACCAATGAAGAGGCGAATGGAATAACTTAATCTTGATTAACCCCACGAGATAATCATCTCAACTAAAGCCCCTTTGACGATTTTCAAATTTACCAGCATTTCCTCGACTTTTTGTGACCAGCGCCAACTGAACCCTGTCGCTAAGGACTAGTAGTCCGTGAAACTACATTTCATTGAGCATGATAATTTATAGTATTTTCATATAAAACTTATTTTAGATACACTGTGCAGTTGACAACTTTTTCCTTCGCTTACTATAAATAAATCAACTAAAAAAAACAATATTACATATAACTTTTACAATGGTTTCTTAAACACTTCTGCTTCTTGTATAGACAGTAAAGTTCCAAAAACAAAGTGCTGTATGACAGGAAACTTGGAGAGGACCTGCACAATGGACAAAAAAAAAACCAAACAAACAAACAAAGAGCAACAACCTGCATTAATAACGAACAGAGTTCACTTCGATGCTTATTGAATACTGACATATAGTAGCTACATTCTTCTCTTTGTAATAAATAAAATCAACAGATAATGCTATTTCTTCTGATGAATGAGAATTATGTACAGTTGACACATACCTCAGCTTTGTACATTTTTATCAAACCAGAGTTGACTTTGTCCCAAGTTTTCACAGAACTTATACCCCATAATACATTAGAGTGTTCTGCAAAAGGTCCTGTTTTCATCTTCAAAACAAAAAAGTGAAGGGACAAAAAATATGGGTTATACAATAATCGTTTATTGATTACTGAAATTAAATTTTGGCTTTCCATTCCCTTATCAATGATTACACTGTACCTTGATGCAAGGGAACTGTAAGTTTAGTATACAAAAATGTTTAAGAGCTTGGTTGAAGAAGAGCCAAAAAGGAAGAGATGTGAGGGTCATAAACAATATTGACATTTCATTCCATGTACTGTCCATATTTGATTTCATCTGTTTAACAAATTAAAATGTACGAAATTAGCACATTCTACCTGCCATTTAATGATGGGAATAAAGTATTAACTAACCTCGTCAATAAACCTGATGCAGCCTAAGAACATATAATCCTCGTGATGACGTTCTGAAACAGTTGGTTTAACAAAGTCCTCTGGTTGTAAACTAGGATGGCCTACCAGGAAAAGTGAGAGTACTGAAATAATGGTTACCAAGGTTCATTACAGGAGGTGGGAGTGTACGTTGCCAGGGAGCCTATTTCTGTTTAAGGCGTTGAGAAGGAGGAGCCGCTTTCACATAGATACATGTACCAATGATTATTGCTTACTTTCTATGACTAAGCACATGCCATGTTGGGAATTGAAAAGGGCATGATTAAAAGACAAGGCCTGGGCTTTTCCAGTATTAATTACCCATGCAGCCCTTCCTTGACATAACCAACTTACATGACAGTGCAGAATGATTAAATGCTCTGGCTTTATATTGGTATGATATGTCCCTGAGACCTTTCTTTGTGCAACAAAAATGACAATTCAATTGGAACGAGTCCCTGATCATAGTTTCATTCAAGGTATTGGAGGAAGCCAAGGGCAATGAAAAGAGGACAAATATTGTATCTCCAGGCCTTAAGCTCTATGTGAAAATCGCAATACCTCCCAAAGATACATAATACAAACTATAAAATTTATACATGATTAGAAATCAAAGCTACAAGGTTGTGGGGTGTACTTGAAAAGGTAGCATATGACTATGACTACCAGTAAAATCATAATAACTTATAATAATGCAATAATAATTATCATTCACATTTACCTACCAATCAACTGAGAGCTCCCCCAGATGAAAGGGAGAAATTGAAAATCATCCAGTCCCCATACCCCTTGACTGCCAGCTGGCTCCATCCTGTATGTTAGCTGCAACCTTCTCATGAGTTTTAAATACCTAAACAGTACATAAACATAGCCTTTACTATCTAGCATACACTGTAAATTATACAAATGTAGAAGGGCTAATTACATAAGGAATAGAAAGGGAAAGAAAAGGAAATTCTGAGGCATCTTAATTAATCACTAAATTAGCTGAAAATAATGAAGAACCAGAATAATGTCATGAAGAAGATGAACCTTCCAAGTTAAAACTAGACTTTATAAGGTGTGGAAACAGGCATGGTATTGGCTCTTTTAGGCCCAGAGACCTTTGATCAGAACTGGAAACTACACAAGAAAGGTTTTTGACATCCTGCTTATGGTATGGCTCTACAAATACGTAGTGAATGTAAGTGTATTGAATAAAGCACAAGGACATTCAAGTGTGTGAAAAGCGTAAGCATAAAACAATCACAACATCAAACATGCACTACTAAAGAGATGAACACTATTATGAATATTGTTATGTACATGTACAGTTGGGTAAAAAGACAAAAGATTTGTATTGTCATAGTTAGCAGTAAAACATCATGTTACTAGTAAGTGAACCTTAATATAGACATAATATAGCATTGAGTGTATGTGTCCATCTATTGCTTGAAATGTACTTGCCTTTGAAACACTTTAAACACTATCGAAACATAGTCACTCTGGTCCAACACTCTGAGTTTAAACAAACAGCACAAAAAAGCAACAAAACAAGCTTCATGACCTGTAATAAACACAGGGAGCAATTTCTTTAATTTCAAAATTACATTTAAATAACAACTGTACACATTCTTTGAAAAAAATTACTGCTATCTGACAAAGTTGATCCATACTCATTGCATGAGAATGAAATCCAATTTCCAATCATAAAACCCACTGCTGTGCTCGAAGGAGGAATGCAGGTGCATAACACAATATCATTTTTACTAGACTGCAAAATCTCAAACACATTCCCCACCCCCACTCTAACTAAATATGGCTGAGGAGAAACCTTTTGAACAAATAAAATACAAGCTCAAAGACTGTTTCCACGTAAAAAGTTACCAAATTAACCCACTGAATAATGGACTATTACATCTGCACAAAAATATATGGCATACTAGCATATTTGGTAGGGCACAAAAGTTCAACAATGGCTATTTAAAATCCGGGGGGGGGGGACTTCCATACAAAGGACTGGGATGCTTGTTGGAAAATTTGATTTAAACCCCTAAAGGAGACCAATCTGGGCGTGGCTCAAGCTTTATTTGACTCCTAAAAGATACCACTTAAAACAGACAAAAAATATGGACTACAACGACAGCATTTTAAAATGATTTTCTCAGATGTAAAGATAAAGAGACCTAGATCAATAAAATTAGTGACATTTCCTCCTGAACACCCTAAGAGAGGCCAAAATTCCTATGATTTGCACCCCTAAATGAGAAAACGAGACTGAAAACAAGAAGTATTCATAAGAGAGTCACAATTGATCTAATAAAGTATCACTTGCACATTTTGAAGTATTGAATATACCTGTTCCATAGTCTATTCTTGTTTTGTTGCCAAAGCCATCTAACAGGAAGTAAATAAGGAAACAAAGTGTTATATTACTGCACTAGTCAATACATTTAAAAGAGACACTGACCCTCCCTCAGAATTGTTCTTTTGCAACAATGCAACTGGAGAAAACAGATGCACTCTGATTAATAGGAAAGAAAGTTGTACATTGCACATGTACATAATTTGCTCAAGGAGATTAGAAAAGGGATATAATAAGAGATACGAGAGGTTGATATTTCATCACAATAGAACTGGCAATACACTACCTTGTTTGCTATACTTATCACTGAAACTTTGGAATTGTTGGACTGGTTTATTCCCACAAGTAACTGACATCTGCATGTTCTCAATTCTAATAATACTACTGTACACCTACAATCAGCCACAGCACATCAAAGATGGTGCCATTTTATCCGGTCAACAAAAAAGCACACTGGCTGCAGTGTTCACTTTGACTGAAACAAACCTTTTAGATATGCTGCAAGTTCTGTGCTGGCTCCCAGAAACTTTTCAGGGAGAAGTGCTTCACTGAAAGAGTTGGCACTCTGTTGAAAAAGTGACACTCAGTGAGTCATTGTAAACTTCTTCCACCTGACAAAAACTGCAAAGCATTATCACTGTTAAAAACTCTTGACAAGTACTAGCTCATTAGTCCTAAGGAACTGTACTCAAGGTCAATTCTCCATACAATTTCCATAAGTTTTGTACTGAGATCAGTTTGGAGGATTTGGAAATATATCAAGATAACATGTTCACATTGATGAGATTTTTTGTTACTGTCACGTCAATGTCTTTTATACAACACAATGCAGTTGAAACTCCTAAACACAAACACCCTCAGGATTAGAAAACGTGTCCACTTGAGAGAGGTGTCTGTTTAACATTAAAAATTCAATCTTCACACATGGCTGGGACAGTGACTAATTGTCTGCTTATGATAGTTGTCCACCTATACGAGGTGTCCATTAGCTCAGGTCTGACTGTAACCTGAAGAGAAGTACCTTTTGAATTAGTTAGTTAATAAGCTTCATCTTGCCTAACCTCTTCCAGCTTACCACACCATGTCCTAAAAGCCTTGTTTCCAAACCGCTGTGGTTGGTCAATGGGTGGAATTTCACCAATCCATGTATCCATGGTTTCTAACATATCAATCAGTTTATTTGAAGCCTTCAATAAAAATAATATTACTCAATAAATTAGTTGCACTTCACTGGTTTCTCAAGGAAGAAGTCTTCAACAAAGTGTTTTGTTGTATATAGCAAAAAGCCAAAACGAAAGCAACCACAAGAGTGAAATAAATGACTGACTACAATGAAACTCATTTATTGCACATAGCATGCCCATCTATATTTGAATTGCTCTGCTGCATATGTTTTGGAGAAAAAAAGTAGTTTACTTAAGTTTAAATCATTGAAGTCAACTGCATTTAGAGAAGTACATGTAGCTTTGGGGCTAAAACAATCACTGTTTGGAGAG